GAAAGCTTCCTGATAATCACAGGCACATTCCCCATCACTTCCCCATGGGCTTCATTAAAAGACGGGTTGCCATTTGAAAACACACACCGACCTGTGATTAACAGCTCTCACCTGCGCCGGAGCAGTGAGGGTGAGCAGTCCCCGGGCGGTGGGGGTGAGCAGTCTGTCTCGCCATGCGGCCGGCGGGTTAAAGCCCACGGCTCCTCCTCCTCCGCGCCGCTTCCCATGAGCGACACAGCTCTCACCTGCACCGGGCGGGGGGGGCGGAGCAGGGCGTGCCAAGCGCGTGCCGGCCAGGTGGTGCCACATGGTGCAGGCGGCTGGCAGCGTCCCAGGTGCCGGACACATACACATTCGCTCTATAAGACGCACAGACATTTCCCCTTACTTTTGAGGGGGGAAAAGTGTGTCTTATAGAGCGAAAAATACGGTAACTATAGGAATACTTTGGGGGACTCTTTGGAGGCTGCTCACACTGACAAGCACTCCCTGTCACATCTTAAGGAACAATTAGGGTTACCTTTTTGGGATCAGTTCCAAATACTTAGCAGCATAGGAAGCCGCCTCGTTCTGGCTTGGAATGTGGGTCTTTCGAGCCCAGGGCTATCTGCACTGACCGGCAGCAGCAGCAGCAGCAGCAGCTCCACAGGGCTTCAGGTGGGATTCCTTCCCAGCCCCTTTGGGAAATGTCAAGGACCGCACTGGGACTTTCTGCATGCTGAGCATGTGCCCTGTAATGCTCAGCCATGGCCCTTGCCGAGTTTGTTACCTCAGATGTTATCACCTCATAGGGATAAGGAGCCTATGGACCTCTCTGACTGCCGAAGCATCCAGCCAGACAGGCAATGGGGCTCCGGGGTCCCAGAAAAGGCCCTTTCCCAGCCCTGCCCGTAGGAACCCCTCAACAGAAACATTCTACATGGAAGGCAATTTCTCTTCCGCTGCCCCTTGGCCCACCCTTGCAGTGTTTTTCGATAGAGCCCATTCACACATTCAGCTGCCAGCAGTCAAGGGCACAGTGCTCCAGCACAGTGCAATTAAGTGGTGTACTTGCATGTGTGAACCAAGCCCCAATGTCTCTGAACTGGTGTTCATGTTCTGCCACACCCCCATTCATGGGGTCAATGTCTGTTGAATTCTAGATTTGCTGTGTTAATAGACACATCTGCCTATGCACTGGGGGTTGATTCATTTTTCTGCTTGGGCTGCCCTGTTTTTGCTCAGCATTTCTACTTGGGGTGGTCTCTGTCTGCCATTCTCCCTTTGGCACAGAAAGACTTCATGCGCATGTCCAGAATTCCTGATCCATGTGCCCTGTGAAGGAAATGGGGACTTAGCACACAAGTCCAGGTCGCTGTGCCACAACACACAAGGATTTGTTGTGTCTGACAGAACCTTGACTGTTGATAAGGCTGCCGGAAAGGGACAGTTTGGAGTGGAGCAGAGAAGGTTAGCGCGAAAGAACGTCTGTTACAGGAACATTGCCCTTGGGACTTTGGCCCACATTGCCACAAGCTTTCCCTGCGGAGAAATTGGTGGGTGGTGGAGGGAAAGCCAGGAAGATACGGCCCAGTTCACGGCAGGGAAGTTGAGTGAGTGAAAAGTGCAAGAAAAGTGGTGTATTTTATAGATGTTGTGCATGTACTCGTGCTACAACTACACTAGCCACAGCTGCCCACTTGTAGTAACTCACAACACTCTGGCCCCAACTCATATGCATAAGCAAAACATGCACCACAAATGCCCATGGTTAGAATTTTGTATATTATACAAATGTACACACAGATGCAGGTTGTCCTTCTCAAAGCATAAATCCTTCACTGATGTGCTACTCGCAGTTTCACACACCATGTGAAATGTTTTATTTATTGAATTATTGATAACATTTATGGGTTTCTATGTTTTGTTTTATTGTCTTTTAATTCTTGCAAACTGTCCAGAGAGGCATGTGGCTATTGTGATGGTCTAGAAAAGCTTGAAATAAATAAAATGGAACGGTAAAGCCAGGTTTGCTGCTGAATATCCCTGACAGAGGCTTGCAGTCAGACAGTCCCCTGATAGGTAAATGGCTGTGAAGCCACTCTTTACATGTTTAGGAATACACCTCAGATATTTTTTGTGCTACACCTAAAAGAAAAGGGTGAATGTAGCTTCATGGGCTTCACATGTGATTTTTCTCTCAGAGAGTACTTTGAGCTTTCTGTATAATTAGTAAAGTCCTTTCCTGAAGCAGAACCCCTCAGTCCTGAGACACACTCGTACGTCACATACAGGCATTTAACGTGTGCAACACAACCACCCCTTCTCTGCTTTAGTACACACAGAATACTCACAAGATTTCACAACCACAACATTCCTGGTTCTGTGTTGACCATCACCACTGCAGATTAAAATCCCTGCTTTGCCCGATACCACATATGAAGTGTGTGTCTCTGTGTGTGTGTGTGTGTGTGTGTGTGTGTGTAGAGTCAACTTGTTTGCCATTAGAAAATAGTTGTCATGCTGGATCAGACCAAAGGTCCATCTAGCACAGCATGGTGCTCGCAACAGTGTCCAGATAGATGCCTATGTAACAACTTTGGCTGTGGATACAGTAAGAAGGTTAAAGTATAACTGGTCAGCATGGTATGTAATGAAACATCTCACATGTTACACACAAACATTTATATGTAGCACTCACAGAAGCAGGAGGGAATCGAACCTCAGTGGCATGGCGCATGGCTTCACATGCACAAGACCTCTGATTCAATCCTGCATCAACACTCTGGCTAGAAAGACCACCATCTAAAACTTTGGAGAGACTTTGCTGGTCAGGGCAGACCAGAGATGGCAACCTTTTGACAACGTGAGATGCTATCCTGGGCACCACTACAAAATGGCTGCCATGGGAGGTGTAGCTACTCACAGGAGAAAGCAACCTGCCCCAGAGACAGAGTAAGAGGCAGAGGTAAGGACTGGGCCTCCACACAATGACCAGAAAGCCTCTTTGAAGCTACAAGTTTCAACAGCAAAAGGAAGCTGGTTCAGGGAAAGCAGAACCTTTCTCTCTCTCCTCACCCTCCATCAGCCAATCCATCTCCCTGCTCTTTACTCTCTTATCCCCAAAATTTCTCGCTCCCTCTCTCACCCTAGCTCACCTATAGATATGCGTATGCTTCCATCTACTGCACATGCTTCACAGCCACAATCCACCCACCCACCCACCCCCCTCTCTTCTTTTCACTGCAAGCACCTGGGTCACTTTTTCCCAGGATTCCTCCAAATTCCCCCTTGCTTTCTCACACACATGCAGCCTCCATCCATTCAGACATGCAAGCGCAGCCCTCTCCAACAGCTCAACTTGTTTCCAGCGGGCTCCCCACTCCCCCTTTCTGCTGGTCTGGGCATCCCCTCCTCCCAGGTGCTGCACCTTGAGCTCCCCACTGCTTTAGCAACACCCTCCCCCCCGCAACACGCACATTTATCAAGCAGGGGCTCCTATTTCTTTTTTGCTTCTTGTTCTTGCTGGGTAGGCATCCCCCACACACAGCCAGAAACATTCCTGGGAAGTGAGGATGGCGACAGACAGTGGCCCTCACCTGGACTTGAAGCAGTCCCAGCTGCTGGTAATAATTTTATTTTAAGCACACACACAAATACCTAAAACAAAGGAGGCAGGAGACACTCATGGTGGGGGGCAAGAAAGGTGTTCAGGGATAAGCTGGTGTCGGTGGGCGCAGTGGCCTCTCCCCCAGTAGTTTCCTAGATGGTACTGAGCAAGGTGGGGCATGTACCTCTGGCGCAGACATACTGAGTGAGGTGGAAAAGTAATCGATCCTACTGTAGGGCAATTCCTGTGTACCTGACACAGTCCATTCTCGGGATCACCTAAGGTAGATCAGAGTGTGGCATCTTAACTCAGAGCCCAGAGACTTTTATAACAGAATGGAATGAGGAGGTGACTGTTCTTCTCAATTAATTATTACAGAGTACAAGGGTGAGAACTTTTGTAGGCAGTCTTCCCACACTGCCTCCATGGGCTGAGTGCCACCATTTTGCACAGGTGTGTAACTGTCAGAAAATTTAATACAGAGCAGTGCAGAATTACTTAAAAAACTTGTTGAAGGCTGGATTGCCCCCTCTCATCCTCTGCAATCGACACAGGCATGTGTGTACACCTGTTTTCCATTCCTGCAGGTGAGGTGTTAAATCTAACCATTACCATCATCATCAAGCATGTGGCATTGCATTATACAGAAATGCTTCAAATTAGAAAACTAAAGAGTGGCCATGATCCTGGATCGGTCTTTTAGAAAAGCTTGCTCTCTTGTTGCAGCTTTGAAGGCTGCGGTACCTGCCTGATGTTCACACACATGCCCCCTCATTCCATCACACACCTGTTGACTTGCGAATTCACAAAGAGACCACTGCAACACATACATGCAGGTATGTTGCGTATTTTTTTGCGTGGCTATTCCCTTGGAAATCTTATGCCAACCACGAACGGGCAAGGGACTCTCACTTGCTCCAACCAGCGCTATGGGCATGACAATATGACTGGGCTACTTCACAGGACTGTTGAGGATTACTGGAATAAAGTGGAATGATGTGAACATTCAACTCACGCCATAGCTATGCCAGGCGCCACGCTGCTATGCCCAGTAAACATCCCCTCTTTGGCAGCTGTGCTTTTGCACCTGCAGTACCTTTACCTATCCATCGTAAGTACGTTTTCCACTCCTGCACATGCTTCTTCAAGAGGCTGCCTTGATTTTAGCAGCACTATAAAAGTCAGAAACTGAGCACCTCATTCCCTCTGTATGAGGGAACGGGAAATGCATCAGTTGTGGAGTATCAGCTTGTCACAGGAAATGCCAGTTAGAAGCACGCAAACTTATTCTCCTGCCCTGAGCAGGGGGCTTGGCCCATGCACTCCAACTCTACGATTATGCTCGCTCGCCACACAATTTGCCACGCACAATCTGCCTCACACACCCAGCCTCCACATGGCGACTGCTCACCGGGTCTGCTGTACTTTCAGGTGTGGCCACCTCCTCTGTAAACGTGTCAAGTGAAGGTGTGCTCGGGACCATCTTCTCCATGGGTAGCGTGACCTCAGATTCCACCTCTGGGGAAAGCAAAAGCAAAGCCCGGCTATTACTGCATCAGAGCACCACCATCAAAAGGAAACTGCTCCTCTGTCAACATGATGTTCCCAGCACGGTGGAGAAAAGAACCACAGTTCTTTTTGGTGCTCACAACAATCCTGGGAGGTGGTTATGCTGAAGAGCCTGCTCTGTAAACAGCAGGATTAGAATCCAGTCAAAGTCCACCATGCTGACCCTCCTTAGAGTTCCCAGCACAGCTGCTGTGTTGTGTAGCTGCTCAACAGGCAGCAGTTCAACAGATGCAACTCTTCGCCAGACAAAGGTGCCATGATGTGGAATTAAGAGGCATTTTTGTGGTATTTGCATGCAGGGAAAGGGAGCCCCTGTGGAAATCCTGCCTGCCACAACCTGTTGGAGCATTTGGCACCCTGGTGGGTGGCCACCCAAACCCCAGGCAGCTTCACTCGCAGGACCTTCTGCTCCAAACTGCAGCACACGTGTCCAAATACCCCTGCGTGGTGCTTACAACCCGGGATCCCCAACTGCCCCCCAGCACTCCCCTGCAATAGACACCTTTGCGGTGGAGCCTTCTGGTTCCTCCAGTCCTCCAACCTCTTCCCCCATTGGAAGGAGAAGGGGAAGGAGAGGAGGGACCGCACACCAGAGCCTTTGCACTCACCGCGGGCGGTCGTGGCCACCGTAGTGTCCTCGGAGTCGCCAAAAGGCCACCAGAGCTGAGCTCCGCCGGGGGCAGCCAGCGCCGCTAATGCCAAGAGGAGGCCGAGGCAGCGGGAGGGCGCCACGCTTCTGGGAGCCTCCATGGCCCCCGCTGGATTCACCCTTCGGCACGCGCGTGCTCCGCTCCGCGCCAACCTTTGGCACTTCGGATCGCGGCTCTTATCAGCCCGGGGGGGCCGCCCACCGGCTCGCTCTCCACCAGTCAGAGGGCGCCTCGCGCCAGCGCGCTACTTTGATCTCTCGGGGGCGGGGCGGGGCGGGGCCCCCGCTGGCTTGAGGATGGCACGGGCGCGCCCCGCCAAAGCACCAAGTGCGGCACGCGCGCGCGTGCCCCCTTCCTCAAGGGACTGCCGGGGGAAGTTAGATCCACGAAGTATAGACCATGGAAAGCATATTGGCCATTGACAAACCAGTCTCTGGTAAAAACAGGCACACCCTGGCACTGACAAGCTAATTATCATATCCAGTGTGGTGTAGTGGTTAAGAGCGCTGCACTGGGACTCAGGCGATGTGGGTTTAGTCCCTGCTTGGCCATGGAGCCAACTGGGTGAGTTTGGGTGAATCACAGACTTTCACCCAACCTACCTCACAGGGTTGTTGTTCTGGGGTAAGATTGAGAGCAGTGGGAGGAGAACGACGCGTTTTGAGTTCATTGTAAGAAAATAGTGGGATACACATCTAAAAAATAAAAAATACACAGTGCGATTTTTAAAAATCCCTTTCTCCTTATGCAAGCCATGGTTAACAGAACTGACCCTGTGGTTTCATGTTGCTTGGTTCTGAATCAGTCATTTAAGGTCACTTTGCCAGATTATTCTTGTCTGGAGAGGTGGGCCAGTTTGTCCTGCGTGGTGTGCAGAGGGGAATGATGGCATTTGTCGTGTCGGAAGATGAGCAAGTGAACAAATTGCTGATCTTTTGGATCACATTATTAGGTCCTGTGAGTGTATTTCCAAAGTAGATGTGGTGATACTGACGGCGTCTGAACCTGATGCTAATTCAGGTCCCCCATGTCTGCGTGGGTTATATTGCTGTTATGTTGGGTGAATTGCTGTTTTAGGCTCTGGGAGCTGCACACGAGCAAATGCAGGCCCACCATGCAAGGCCTGGGAGAGCGAAGTGCCATTTTCCAGGATGGGTCGCTGATCAGGCATTGGCGTTGTTTTAATTAGGAGCTACAAGTTGAAATAAACAGCATCCTGTCCTTTCGGGCTTCTCTACACAAAGCTTTTAACCTGCTACTTCACTGCTGGTTCTATTTCTGAATTCTTTGCTCAGTTAAGAACAGGGATTTTTCTTTCTTTGCCTTTCTGTGTATTCCATGACACAACTACAAGGTGGAACTACGATATAGCAGAATTCTGAAAGTACACAAGCTTCTCTCAGCACTTTCAGCTCTAAAAAAACCTGCAGAAATGACTACAGACTTTCCCAACTGGAGTCTATCTGGACATTTTGATCATGACCTGTGGCTTGCCAGACTGTCCTCCACCACAGGACCATCAATTAATTTGCTGTGATAGTAGGACTTCGTTAGCTGCTTACACAGGTCTTATGATGTCCCTATTATTTCTGGGGATGAATCTGCCATCATGGTTGGCATGAATGAAATGGTGTGGTAGATGATGCTGTTTTCTGATTATACCAGATTGAGTGCAATGGCAGAAGCTCCCTGCAAAATCCCAAATGCAAGGCCATCTGGAGGGGTCCTTGCAGAATTCTTGTAGCATTGAGAGATTAGTTGTGTGCCAGTTGCACGCTGCTGCTACGGTTAGCATCATAGAAGAAGTATCCTTTGACCCGTGGAGAACAGAAATGTATCTAGGCCACCTCAGAACTATACGTGTAGGTTTGGTGAAGCAGAATACAAGTCCCATGAAAGAAAAACTCTTAACGCAATGCATGGCTGGAAGGATTCAGAATATGGTTAGACCAGTTCAGAGCATCCCTGTTCTAGCCAGTGGAAATATGCAATAGCTTTAATAAGTTGCTTTCTTTTTCTGTGCAGATCCAACATAAAGAAACATAGTCATGCCTATATTTCGGCCCCACCAAATCCACATGTATGACAAAAAACTGTCAGGCATTTTCCCATCACCACACCAAGCAAATGATGGGAAACTCGACTTGGCAATTGCTCTGTGAAAGCCAGAAAATATGTAATCATGCCCTGGTGTCCGGGCATCTGGGAAACTTGACTCAGCTGTCTTCCCCACAGCACTCTACTCAGGTGCATAAGCAAGAACAAACACTTGGGTGTGATGTCCACACATTGCATGTGTGCCACTGGAAACAACTGTGTAACAGCCACGTTTCCTGCAGCAACCGTAATGCCAGGACTGCCCTAAATTGATTAAAAAGCAAAAGAGATGGAGAGGGGAGACTCAGCAGTTTCTCTACCACCACAGACAGGCCAGGGGAATTCTGGCAAGGACTGTTGTCTTGTACCAGCCCCGTGTCTCGAGCAATGCAATCTTTATCGTGGGGGCCAGAGAAAGCAAGGAGCTGGAATCCATGATGGCAGAAGAGCTGCTGGCAAGGACACGCGGGGCGATGATCCGATTGCTGAGGCTGCTGGGCCAAAAGTCAACACTTTGCATCCAAACATACCTCCTCTCCACGCTGTCCTTTTGCCTTGACCAGTATGTGCTGTTCACTAAGCAATCTACAGACTAAACACCAAGCACAGGCGTCAGTGGGCGATAAGGTTTGAGTGGAGTGGGGTCCCTGTTTGGGTTTTGAAAACACCCAAGGCTGCCTGGGGTGGCCATGCTCTTTGTCTCCCGATTGGGGAATGCAGTGAGTTGCTTTTCTGCCATTTTACAACTTTACAAGGCAACACAAGCTAAAATGCTGGCAGATGTCTACACATAAAGAAAATAAGACACACTGATTCACATAATAATTGCCTTATTTCCTTGTCCTTGTCTTCCTTCGTGCATATGGACTATGGCTGCAATCCTGTGCAAACTTACCTGAGAGAAAACCCCTTGCAGTCAATGGGTTTCATTTCTACATAGAATTGCACTGCTTAATGGAAGTATTATTGCTTTATGTCTTAAAACAGGCAAACCCTAATCTTTCTTCAGGGGTATACAATCTCTATTTTAGTGGACATTCAGCATAAATTCCAGATCAAACTCACAAGTAACCCAATACTACTACTATGAAGTAATCATCTAGCAACCTTGTCCCAGCGTCTTGGCATGCAGCTCTTTCTTTCCCCAGGTGTAACATCCACCTGTGGCCAATTCGGCCTTCCTCCCGCAACCCTGTGATGAAAGACACAGAGCTATTGGGTGCCTCCTTGACATACATTTTTTTCAGAAGGTGCAACAGGCTTTTCTACATAGCAGCCTATCTAATGCTGCTAATTACCTTGTCTTAGTTGATTTCCTCCCTCTGAATTATTCTAGGGAGGTTGTCTCTCCCTCTGTCCCATTCTGCCTTGCAGTGTATAAGGCAGGGATCTCCAACTTTTTGGGGGCCATTTGGCATTTTGAAAAGTCTCCGGCCCCTCTTCCCCTGCCCTCCACCCTCCAGCTTGCCTTTGGACTCCCCAACACATGTGCACTCATGGACATTTGTAGGCCCTTTACAGAATGTCATCATCCCCCCCCCCCCGCCCCCCAGGCCTCTCCCAAGTTTTCCAGCCATTTTTGCAGCTTGTTAAGGGTCAGCATTTTCCTGGATGCTGCCATTATTCACTACAGAAGCCTAGCATGTTTCTGTAATTCCAGTCCCCTTGTGTTGCGGCCCCCCTTGGACCATAGAGAAAAGGAAGAGAGGAAAAACCTTCATGGGCAGCCTGTTCTAATCTTTCCACAAGGAAAACAGGAGGCAACTTCAGTAAAGGCTCAGGTTATATGGTTTGTATAGTTATATGGCTGCTTCTCTTTCCCCTTCTCACCACTGTCTCTGGCTCCTATTCTCACTGAATCCTCTTTTCTTCTTCTCTCTCTGGCTTGCCAATGGACAGACCTCCCCAACCGCTTGTTGCCTGAGGATCCTTGGGTGCTGAAGCTCAGCTTTGCCCGCCTTCTGGCTGTTCTGTGCTGGTGATGCTGGCAGGCTGTTTTCCGCTGTGCCAGTGAATGGAGGAAAGGCTCCGCTCCCTTCTGGAAGAGGGAAAGAGCGTTGTGGGTGCCTCAGCCTGGCCTTGTGCATGCAGTGGGGCCTGCAGGCCCCCCATTGGAGGTCCCTGGTATAAAGTTCCTCTCCAGTAAACCACTCCCAGCCTGGCCTTGTGGGGAGTTTAGCCGGAGCGTGTGCGCTCATGCCTGTGCTCTCATGCACACTACCTAGAAATCAACAGAGACTACACGGTAGATGCTAGGTGCAGGTTGAAATTCTCCTCCTGCTTGAAAGCTTTCTAGGTGATCCTGGATCTGTTACTCAGGGGTGGGAACGGGGTGATTCACCAAATTTTGTTGCCTGTGGGGAAGAGCAAGAGGGCACTCTCTCCTGGTCCACGTGCAAAAGCCAATTGGGTTAGCAGCTGAAAATTTCTGCAAGGCTGAGAATGGGACAGTGTCTTCCAGCACTTGTGAAGGTAGCAGGGTGATTCAGGGGGTGTAGGACAGGTGGTGGGGTTCACTGCTCTCCCCTCAAGCACCTTGCTGGCACCTCCCAGCATCTGCCTTCTGGGGTGACTGTCTCACTCTTCCTCGAGGCAGGTGCCTTGTCACAACTCTGAGCATCCCTGGACATTGGCCAGGAAGGCAGGAGCTTGTGGGGAGTTGAATGGCAAAACTTCTGGAGGTCTACCTCCTCCCCATCCCAATAAAACTCACAGGGCTGTGAAACTAAACTGGCAGGCAGAACCAAAACTTGCATACACTCGCTTAGCTGAGCAAATTTAAGCAAGCGTGGTATCAATGCATCAAGTTATGAAACTTAGTTGGACAATTTCAGTATTATAGCAGTTAATAATTTCATTTTGATAAGCACATAATGAAGTCGTATTTTTTCACTGACAAAAATTCCTCCCCTAGCTTTCTAATTTGCCAGAGATTTCCCATTTTAAGTTGGCTTAATAAAGACACAATCCTAAGCATGTTTAGACAGAAAAAGCGCAATACCCAGCATCGCTCTCTTAAAGTAGTGAAAACACTGC